CATCCAAGTTTATTAAGGATTCTGGAAATGAATTCCCAATGCGTCCGTCAAGCGCATTCAAGCCGTTCGCTCGTGGCAAGATTTTACACAATGCTTCGCGGTATAGCACCTGTGAAGGTAAACAAATGGCCTCCAGGTGACTACGTTAAGCAAATAGTTGTCACTAGAAAGGTCATTCCATCCAGTGACTTTTTGTAAGTTCGATTTATCGTCATCACTTCTGATGACACAACGTGCTTAGTTCGAATACCGGTGGGTCCACTTTCCCTTTTCGTTTCGTATTCCAATTTTTAGAAGTCAAATCCCGAGTTGTTCGGGTGCACGAAGTGTTTTCCAATATTGGCGAAAAATTCGCATCTGAAGTCACGCTGTCCCGTTCTCACATTTATACCACTATAACGGACCAAATTCGCACGAATTTTTGTATTTTGCATTAATTTTATTGTTTTACTTTATTTTTGTTCGCATTTCCGTGACGCTTGTTCCACCGCCGACAATTTACAACGAAACTGGAATGGACTATCTCTAAGAGTCCTTGTATAGTTCACTGACCGATTTTTGCCAGCAAGAGCAGGAGTGTGTTTGGCGGTTAGAAAATTCGATATTTTGTGGTGATTTGGGTTTGTTTTGATTCCGAACATCATTTGTGATAACGAGCAGAAAGTTCGGGTCTTACGACATTTTTCAAGGTACGGCTGCTCTCATTCCTAGCGCGTTTTGACCCTAAGGATTGAACACATGGCTTTGATATGGTGTGTGGGAGAAACGGTAGCATTGTTAAGTAATATGATTCTAACGTTTCCTATCTACGTTCTCGTTAGCGCATTTGAGGAATTTTGTTCTATGCTTCGGTTTTTTGCGTCCGAATTGCGATTATATTGTGTAGCCTGAGAAGTATCATGCACCTAGTCCATTTGTTCTCGTGCCTGGCCTTCTTATTCGGCTTTGTCAGCCTGGATAGATTTTGCATTCAGCACCAACGTGTATTCCAGTCGTTTCTATCAGACTGAAGTAATTTTATGTACCTTTTACTGGAGTTCCAGTACCGAGATCCCAATGTACTTGAACATGGTCAGATTGCTATATTTGATTTCTGGGTACGTAGATCACTGGGAATGCAGATCTCTTGGTGGCTGCCTGGTAACATGATTCACCAGTTCCTTATATGGACTTTTTCTGGAAATAATCTGGATATTTCGTTTCACATTTATTGCACAAGACAATATGATCGTGAATCATGGCAACATACACTGGATTCACTCAACTTGGCACTTACCCAGGTTGAAGTCCTCGCACAATTACTGCATGATCACAAGATTGAACATTTCTTGCTTCTGTCGAATTGTGTTGATTGGAACTCCTACAACTTCGCATCAACTGAAGAACTCGCAGATGGCCCGGATGGAGTTCGTAAACTTCTTTTGGGTAAAGGTTTTACGTGTTACAAACATGCTTAATGATTTTTTGTAATCGTGGAGTTATTTATGACAGAGGTCTTCAAGTGTTCCAATTATCTGGACTATACCATAACAGCTGTTTTTGCAAAGTTTATCGGATTTGCTCGTAAAATGTCTAACCATCTTCGGAGGGTTTTATGAATTTACCAGTTTATGAAAAGAGAATAGTGTACTTTCAAATGTTTTTGACATCCCTAACTTCATCTGGCATATTTTGCCAATATTTTACCGATATTTTTGGTTGCTATTGTGAAACACTTGTACTCGTCCAGACTATCCGTTATTGTGACGCCTACGAGCACGCTCAATAGCCCAACTGCCCGCGAAATTCTCTTCATTGCTTGTAGGATGATTCATCTGAACCGTTTACGTTCCACGTGGTATTGGTCAGAAGAACGCTCGAACTGCGATCTCGAACTCATGCATGCACGTGTCTACTGATGCCGATATGTGGATCATGTTCACCAGGTATGACCACCCGACTGGCCAGCATGGCTTGTTTTGGTTAACGTCCGTGCTGATATGCTTCCGAAATCAAGGATAAGAAACAATCCTGATTAAAAAGCTTTACTATGTTCAACCTTACAACGTGATTGCCGTTGTGGCCGGGGTGACGAAAATATTTGGAAGCGTTTAGCTCTGCAACGCCATTTTGTTGGAATCATAATGAACTGTTGTTATTGTCAATACATTTTCGCATGTTTTCATTCGATCTCTGTCATTACGACCGAGGCGCAGGCAATATAGAATAACACAACTGTCTTAAGCTCACAGGTGCTCGTTAGATGAATGTAAGCCCACTTGATTCTGATTCACAAGGGCAAAGATTCATCGTAGTTTTTACGGTCGTCACAGTGCTTGTGGAGTGTTACGATTAGCACATCCTTACTTTTGTGTTCCGAATAAGAAGGTCACCCATTTACTGGGTTGTCAGTATAACGACACAGGTCATATATACATGTTAGAAAGGGATCCTTGTTCTTTGATCAATAACATTGTGGAGGTGTATAGAAAACGCCGCGGATTTTGTATTTTGGACTATGACCCATCGGTTTGATATAACAAAATAACGAACGAAAGGCGGATGGGCTAATGAAAACTTGTCTGTCCGTTGTCTTCGTTAATCTTAGCATGTTGAAGTGCCTGAATACAGACCTTGGTGCACCAAACGAGGAAACTAATGCAGATTAAATTGCAAGTCCTGGAATAGATATAAACCGAAATTTCAAGAAACCAAATCCAGTTAAAACGGTTTCCAATTGCCGCAACTTGTGACTATTACGCCAAATGACTAAACCTTTTCACCGGCATTCAATGGTTATTTAGTGTACCGATCTTGTCGACTGGTTTTCCATCTGACTCAAAAGCCGTTCAACATAATAACATACCATTCCGGAAGAACATTTGCGCTGAAAGCACAACCATGCCTTCCACCATTCTTCTCAGAAGCGCATTAAAACTAACTCTCCCGTTATGGGAATAAGCTGTGAGCATTTATCGAACCTCCAGATAGATAGAGACCCAGGACCTTCCGGTTAGTTGCTGAATATCACACAATTTTAGCAAAAATGTCTTACAAATGGCCTGGGCTTATCATCAATCACTCTTTTGTCATCGAGTTCACGCCATCTGATCGAGTTTTGATCAGCTCGTCGAGTGGCGACCTGTAGGATGAATACAGAAGTTCGGGTCTATCTCAAGAGAGGCACACTACTGTTCAATACCAAGAAGGGTGGAATAGCTGCCATGCAGCAACTAAGCATACACTAATTTCATTTACAGGATCAAAGCTCGACTAAAGCTTCAGAGTCATTTTGTTATCTAAATGTATGAATGAATGGTTTCTTCCAATCCATTTTGCTCACCATTTCGGATTTATTCTTTACCGTAGATATTGGGGAAATACAGCATAAGTTGTCCTTGCGTCGTATGTACACGTTTGACAACTGTATCGTAATTACTGAAAGTGTAAAACTGTTTTGACAACAAGTTATTTCTAGCGGAACGAAATCACTTGCAGACCAAATTTGTCCACCATCAAGACAGCGAATTTTCCAGACTCAGTCCTTTGCCGTGCTCCTGGATATATATATATATATATATATATAGTGTATAAGAAAAGGGGTTC